TAGGAATGTTCTCCTTTAGTTTGAAGCATATCCATCAGAACTTCATTTAGTGAGGATCTATTGGTAAAAAAAAAAAAAAAAAAGTCTGAGCTTTTATGTGACAATCACTTCTTTATTTTGTCCTAATTTGTGAAGTGTATTTTTGTTGGATATTCTAAGTTGACAGTTTATCTCAGCACCTTTTCCTAATCTGTCTTCCATTACTAGTGTTGAGATGCCAGGTACTGAGGTATCTAATTGTCACTTCAATGTCTTATTGAAGGCATTTTTTTTCTCTCTAGTTGTTTTTAAGATCTTCTCCTTGTCTTTGGTGTTCTGCATTTTTGTTTGTTTGCTTTATGCTTTTTTTGCTGTAGTGCATCTAATTATGTATTTTTCTTTTTCCTGATTGGAATTCATTGGAATTCCTGAATGTATGGATTTTGGAGAGGGGGCAGGGCATCTTACAGTTTTGGAAAATTCTCAGTCATTAACTCTTCTCATACTGCCTTCTCCCCATTCTCTCTTTTCCTCCTGAACTTCATCTAGCCATGTTAGATCTGTTCTGCAGCATTTCAGTATCTCATGTTTCCTCAATTTCTGTTATATATAACTCCTCAAATCTGTCTTCCAGCTCCCTAAATTCTCTCTTTTACTGTATCTAATATACTGTTAAACCTATGTACCCAATGAATTTTGTATTTTGATTATTATATTTTTCATTTCTAGGATTTTTTTTAAGATTTTATTTTAGAGAACATGAGCAGGAGGGAGAGAATCTCAAGCAGACTCTGCACTAAGCCTGACCTGGGGCTTGATGTCATGACCCTGAGATCATAACCTGAGCTGAAACCAAGAGTCGGACACTTAACCGACTGAGCGACCCAGGCGCCCCTCTAGGATTTTCATTTAGTTGTCAGTGTGCTTGGTCATTTTTTATAATCACATGCTTTTTTCACTTCTCAAAGTTTTTTAAATTTCTGCCAACATCTTAAACGCACTTCCTTTCTGTTGTGTGCTAACAAGTCCAATATCTGAAATCTTGGTAGATCGAAATATGGTGTCTAACTCTGTTTCTGCTGCTGCTTATTCTTGGTACTTGGTTTACTTGTATATTTTGTGGGTTTTTTTTTTTTTTTACTGTCAACTTAACTATCTCAGACTTTATTTCTGGGAATTCTTTGGGGGTGAAAATAGGTCCTTTCAAGGATGACTTATATTTGATTCTGAAGATGCTAGAAGTACAGGCCTGGGATCACTCTAAGTTCTAGACATGTGAGTTTTTGACCACTCAGATTAAATAAAGTTGGGCTGCAAACTCACATGAGGGCTTGATTATTGTTAAACATTATCAGAGAAATTGCCCTCATCCTCCTCAGCCTCAGGACTAAGTTTTGAAACAAGCAGTTTTCCCTATAGTGGGCAAAGAGGGAGTATTCTTTGTTGATCCTTAGATTGTTTAGCCTTTTGGGGTTCCAGACTTATGTGGGGGTGGTGTCCTGTCAGATGCTATACCTCAGATAAGCCCTAGACTTTCTGGTATTTCTTAGGCACTGGGATGCTTTGGCTAAAGCCAAAATTTATATGGTTCACCAAATGCCCTTAAGGAGAAAGCTGCCTTCAATGCACTATGACTTCTCTGGGTTCCCCCTTTTCACTTGAGTCCTTGATTTCTAAGTGCTCCTTACTAAGTTTCCAGTTACTGATGCGATTAACAGTATTTTTAAAAATATCTTCTTAAGCATTTTAGTTTTTTTAATTCTTTTTTTCTACTAAGAGTCTCCCTGGTAACCTAGACCACCTAATTACCGGAAACAGAAGTCCCCTAGCTGGACTGTTTCCCATGGACAAATACATTTAAATCTTGCCTCAGTCTACATGTGACAGCCCTCACCAGACTGCTGTGCCAGGGAGTAAGGGGTAAAAACTATGCACGTTCTGATTCTAAACCAGGAATAAAAGCCTGAAGAATTTTCACACAGTTTTAGGTGACACCAGGGAAGTACTTCTAGAACAATAATATGAGCATATCTGTGAACCGTTTCTCCGGTGAAACCACCATAACTGGTGAAAATTATAAAAGTCAACCACTTAAAATCTCTAGACATTGTCCTAAAAACATACACAAATGGAAAGACATTCTGGCAAATGTTCTGGCAAAGGAATAAAGGTAATGATTACCTTTGATTTTCATAAGTTACGTTTAACTGTTAAAATTGTTATAGTAGTACATAAAAGAATAGAAATAGTATACATTCCCTTCAGAGTAGTGGAGGGGAAAATGGAATGTGAAAAGAGTAGTAATAGTCCTAAAGGAAGGCAAGAAGAAGAAAAATTATAGGCAGGACATATAGCACAAATTTTACATTTCTAGTAAAAGACTGTTAAATTGTTAGGCTATAGTTTTTAAAACCTGTGTATATATTGATTCTAAGAGATAGAGGTGAAATACAAACAGACAAAAAAGCAAAATAATAGCAAAAGAGACACCATTCAAATAACCAAAAAATCTGGTGCTTTATTTTTTTTTAAACATCATACAGAACAGATTTCAAGGTAAAAGTAGAAATAAGAAGATCACCACGAAAAGTTTATTGTACCAGAAGATAGAATAATTTACAAACATCTATGCAAGTAGCAAGAAAGCTTCAAGGTGTATTCCAAAAAATTTCCATATTGACCTGGAGAAACTGGTATTAACATAGTGGGAGATTTTCACATGCTTCTCTCAGTAACGGACAGCTCAGGCAGACAAAAAAAAAAAAAATAGGACTTAAATGTAAACGTTAAAATTTTATTAAGAGCATAATATGAATAATTTTGTGCCAATATAAATCTGATAACTTAAATATACAAGCTCCTAGAAAGCACTGACTTAATAAAACTAGGTAGAGAAGAAAAAAGTTGAACAATCCTGTTTATTAAAGAAATATAATCTGTATTTTAAAATCATCCCATGAAGAAATACAAAGTCCGTATCATTTTTACTGGCATATTCTCCCAAACATTTAAGTTACGGGTAATTTCAAATTTATATAATTTCTTCCAGAAAATGCAAAAATAAAGGCACTGAGTCAGTTTATGAGGTTAGCAGAAGTTAATTAGCAAAACTAAAGACAGCACAAGAAGAGAAAATAAATGCCCATCTTATCCATGTACACAGGTGAAAAAATCCTGAAGATACTATCACATAATGAAGCCAAGGAACCATTGTTCTTTTTGTGAGGTGTAATAATGGTTTTGTGATTTTAAAGACAACATCCACAATTTTTAGAGTTGCATACTGAAGTATATAGAGGTGAGGTGACATAAGGTGTGAATTTATGCCTTAAAATAGAGTAAGTTGCTTCTCAGATATTCTAGAATGTGGACCCGAGTTTACAGGAGTTTGCCATGTTATTGTCTCTTGTGTGTGTATTTGAAAAGTTTCCTAATACAAAGGATGAAAAACACTGGATTATATATAATTTTCTTTTAAAAAGAGAAAGAAAGCACATACACATTATGAGATGTCGAAAGCTAATGCCATGTGTGGACAGAAATGTGACAAGGTGGGGAATTCATTTTTTGGGCATTTGATCTGACCTCATCCAGAAGGGATCCCAAGCAAGGTGCATTTCAAGCAATGCTCGGTATGTGGCTTCTGAAGGCAGAACAAGGATGAGCTCCAGCTGAGCAGGAACATTCCAGAAGGATGGATAAAGTTCCTGGCCATCCTCGATTTCACAGCTAGAAATGGACCAGATGCTTCTTTTAGCACTGGTTGGAGTTCAGTTTAGCTTTTACCCTCCGTCACCAGGATAAAGGGAAGTGATGTACGTGGAAAAAGTCAGCGGAGTGTAAAGCTATACAACTGTATACAAATGTAAGATACTTGAAATATTATTTACAGAAGCCACTGTAAGTGTAAAAGGGATAGGGAGTGCAGTTGCTCTGGAGAACAGTCTGGCAGTTCCTCAAAACGTTAAGCATAAATTTATCATATGACCCCGCAATCCCACTCCTGGGTGTGTGTGTGTGTGTGTGTGTATATATATACACACACACACACACACACATATACACTCAAGAGAAATGAAAACATCTGGCTACAGGAAAGCTGTATACAGATGTTCAGAGCATCATTATTCATACTAGCGCAAAAGTCAACACGATCAAAATGTCCCCAACTGATGGATGGATAAACAGAATATAGTGTTTCCGTACAGCGGAGTATTTATTACTCGGCAGTTAGAGAGGGATGAAGTACTGACTTGTGCCACGTGGATGGACCTTGAGAACATTTTGCTAAGTGAAGGAAAGCAATCACAAAAGATCACAATTCGTATGATTCCAGTTATATGAAATACCCAGGCGAAGCAAACCCATAGAGACCAGAAGTAGAGGGGTGGGTGCCAGTGGGGGGCGGGTGTTGTGGAGAGGGGAGAACGGGGAATGCGTGCTAATGGGGATGGGTTTGTTTGGGGTAAGAAAAATATTCGGTTAGATGGTGGTGCTAGCTGTGTAACTCTGCAGATAGACTAAAACCCACTGAATTGTATACTTTAAAGGGATAAATTTTACGGTATGTGAATGACATCCCAATAAACCTGTTACCTAAAAGGCGGGGTGGGGGGAGGGGTAGTTAAGAGAGAGTTTGGAACAGAATGGTTTTATCTCGTACCCCTCCTCACTCTGTTATCACCACCACCTGGGCCCTGAAGTCTTTAGTCAAATTCAGGAAGATGGAGGATTTCTTTTTTTCAAAATTTCGTTGAGAAAAGAAAATGCAGAGTCTGAAGCAGAAACCGAGAAAGCCAAGAACTGCCCCCCCCCCCCCCCCCCCCCCGCCCTGGTCCGGGTGCTGGTCCCTGGTGAACCTGGATAAGGCCCCAGCCTGGAGGGAAGCGGCTCCGGGGTCCTGGTGCCTGAGCGGCCCCTACTCCGTCCGTTGTGGGAAGACGAGTACTTTCCGGGGCCGGTTGGCTTTCACTCATCTGGTGCTTTCTCTCCCCGTCTTCCTGTCCTGTTTTGTGTTTCAGTGGCTGCTTCAACCCCCAACTCCACTGCTGGTGCAGCCATGAATTCTCTGACCTCCCTTGGGACGCTGCAAGGACTGGCGGGAGCCACTGTTGGGCTGAATAATATTAACGCACTAGCAGGTACCCTAAACAGTGAGTATTTGCTGCTCTGGTGGACAGCCTCCCCCCAAATTCTCCCCCAGTAACGACCTGCAAAGGAGAGGGAACAGGGAGAACTACAGCTTGGGATGGAGGAGCACATGCCGTGCTAGGCAAATGCTGTCTACGCTCACTCTGCCTCCAAGACCACCCAACCCCACCACCCCCAGTCTCTTCTAATATGCAGAATGTGCATCCATCCCTAGGTTCCTGTGGCGCACGGATAGCTACAGGTTTCACACGGGGGTGGTTTGGGTTTGGCTGGGGTCTCTTCTTCTGAGAGGCAGTGTGTTTTAATAGAAAAATGGGACTAGAAGTCAGGACGCATGGGTCCAGTTCCCAACCTGCAAAAGTCCTGAGCAAATGCTGGCCCGCCCACCTCAGGCTTCAGAGTCCCATTTGAAAATGGAAAGTTCTGGATTAGATGATCTTCCGGGTGTCCTCTTGCTCTAAAGAGTCATGACATATATAGAGAAGGAAAAACGAGGCCTTGGAAAAAAGGAAATAGAGCGGAGTGCAGAGCCCCACCGGCCGCGGTACGGGATCTGTAAGCACCCACAGACAGGACTCCCCCGCCCCCCCCAAGCATCTTCATCTCTGAAGAGGCGCATGTTACCTTGGCAGGCTAAGGCAGAGTCGGGCAGCCGGCTTACAGAATCCTTTCAGCCTGAAACCTAGGGACTCACTGAGGAACTCCAGGTTCTGTCCTACACAGCTTGCCGATTTCTGCCATTTTGGATCTTTGGCTGGAGGGGGGGTTGGGGGGGTTGGAGATAGTCCCCAGACAGAGAACAAGTCCTATTTTAGCCTTGTGCTTGGCATTGGCCTCTACACTGGGGGAAAGTGATCCTCCGCCCACAGAGGGGGACACCTCATTTGCTTTTCCCTCAATTCAGTCCTGAGTCGAGAGTAGCCCAACCCAGGAGAGCCCGAAGAGATTCTGATTTGGGGGCCCAGTGACCTACCATGCAGCCTGGGCAACCCAACGCCTGCCCACTTTCAGCTTTCAGAAAGGGGTCCTTGGCAAGTTGGTTTCAGCCATGATCCAAGAAGTGAACAGTCTTTAAGGGATGATCAGATGATACAATTTTTTTAAAGCAAAAAAATCCCAATCGTTCTGTACTTTAAAATCTCAAAAAGAATGCCTTGTAGTTTGATAAAAAGGAATCTAGAACTTATCAAATTTTCAAGTTTTATTAAACACTTTTATTTAGAGAAAAATGGCTGAGAAAAATGAAAACTGGGACTGAGTTTTACTGTAGGCCAAAAAGAAAAGAAAAAGATTATTCCTTCCAGATAGGATAGACTTGATTAGCAAACAGTACACGAAGTGGTAACCATGTGACAACGGAATGTTTTATTCCAGTAAAACTGCCTCCAGCTCCCCACTTCCCAACGGCCCAGGAGGAGCCGTCATTGCCTTGACTCCTGTTTCTGACCTTGTTCTGCAGACGCTCCAACCCACTTCCTTCCCCTCGGTTGCAGACAAGTGTGTTTGCACACATCCCTTCATGCTGCTTCTCTTGCCCCAGGACCTAGTTCCCCTAAAACAAGGACTTTGATTTGATCGCCTGCCTGTCCTGTCCTTGGTCTGCAAAGTAACAGGCCAGTGGGAATGGCTGTCCTCCTCAGCACGTGCTCATGACTGCTTGTGTGCTGTCCTCCCGTCTGTGTGGTCCTGTCTCTCTCCATCCCAGTCTCTCGTGCTTTGCTGGTGTTTTCCCATCAGTGCCATGAGGGACTAGAGAGGGGCTCTGTTGAAAGGCCAAGAAACTAGGACTAGTCCTTGTGTGGGCTCTGTGTCACAAATTTTGCTTCTGGCAAGGACAACGGGCTTAAAATGTTTTGTTCTCTAAATTTTTTGCAATTGGGGCACAACAAATATGGATAGTTGACGGGGAATTGAGAAGGTGTCTCGTTTCAAACAGCCCCTACCAGACGGTGTGAACCAGGAAAATGTTTAATTGCTCATTTACAAAAATCACAAACAAAACTACATTCCTTCTGATTTGGTAAATGTTACTAGCACAGAGCTATTTAACAATCCCAACACTGGCTTGGAGCTGGTATTTGTTCCTTTTCTCAAATACTAAGAGGAAACGGAAATACATAGAGTGTCCTCTTTCAGACCACCCTGCCTGAATGTGATCGTGCTGCCCATCCTACTGAATAACTCTCAAAGAAGGTACTCAAAAGACGTTACTGGAATAGAGGCAGCTTTTAAAAAAGGTGGCCACAGCTTCCATATCACTGCTGTTTCCTACCTTACTCCATCCCAGGAACAATGACTTGCTACTGAAAGAATTCTCCGGTTGTCCAAAGAGAGCCGTCTCTTTCCCATGGACAAAGGAGCCAGGAAGAATGTAGGTAGATGGAATCCCCTTAATTCCCAATTAACTCATCTTTGTAAAAATGTTACCCTCTTCACTGCCACAGGGCCCCTCTCCTCCCAAAATAAAGTTTTGGTTAGAAGACAAGTAGCTGAATTGAACTCAAATTTGATAGCCCTTTTCTTCCCTTATACATTCATGAATGGAGGGGCTTAAAAAAAGTAGAGTAGAAGCCTAAAGCTAAAAGCAAAAGTTGCCAAGATCAGAGGTAAGGAATGTGGGTGGTGATTGACTAACAGAGCTTTCAGTTTTGGATTATTTGAGTGTTCTCAAGACATGTTTTGTACATAAGATGTGTTTTGTACATCTGAACTAAAACAAAATATTTTTGCAGATATATCCACCCAAGAGTCCGTATCTGACTTTGTGTAGGTGTTTTAACGTAGGTCAAGTGACATACTTTTTTTTTCCTTGTTCAGATCACACCATTCTTCCAAATGGCTTACCATATAGTGCTTAAAATTAGGATTTGTCAGAATATAACCAAGCACAAGTGCCTGGTGAATAGTGTTTATGGAAATACAGTTGACCCTTGAACAACATAGGTTTGAACTGTGCGGGCTCACTGATATGCATATTTTTTTTCAGTTAATACAGTAGAGTACTACAAATGTATTTTCCTTATGATTCAGTAGTCAGGATATGTACTGACTGTCCACAGACCGTGTGCAAAGATCCTCCCTTGTTGAGATTGGCACATCTGTCATTTTGTTCCTTGTCCAAACAGCATGCATGGGAATTTAGATTTAATGGGATGAAATGATTGATCCATTTGGCTTTTTTAAAGAAAATTCCCATTCTTTTAAGGTGAGACATTTATTCAACTTAACTTTCTTCAAACCTCTGTAAACACTGTCCAAAGTTTGTGCATGTAATCAGATACCAGCAGCTGAATTGACAAGTGTTATCTTTGATATAATAATTATTTAATATAAATCTTCCTTTGATGGTCTTTCAAATTCTGCCAGGTAATCAATTACCTTATTCTACCTTGGCTTTGGCAAACACATCCCCCAGAACCTCCAGGATAGTTTGGTTTTTAATATTCTCAATGCACCTGCCAGAATTTGTACCCTTATTTTTTGCTCAAAAGGATGGTTATACCATGGAGGAGGAAAGGCCCGGGCTGGAGAGCCCTTACCAGTCCCCTCTTCCGCATCGGCACCCATTGGTGCCTCCAATACCATTTCCAGCCTCGCTTCAGGCAGGTCAAGCCAGCTACAACTACCTCCCGCACGTGTGGCATCACTTGAAGTAAGCAGAGCCCTTCAGAAAGCAGATTTGCCCTGAGATGTAGTCCAAAAACACGGCCAAGGACCGTGAAGTGTAGGCAGGAACGGAGTGACGATGTGCTGGAATGTCACTTGGTAGGGCTGCAGGCCTCACGATGACTCTAGTCCTAAAACCCATCCCGTCTTTCAGGAGCACTGAAGTTCATTCTGCTTCTGTGTTTCAAGAGGAAAAAAAAAAAATGGCAGAAAGGTGGAAAGAGAAGAAAATTCACCTGACCTGGATGATTAAAAAAAAAAGGGAGACATGTACCAGAGAGGAAGGGAGTCCAGGGCCACAGTGAGCCCTGCAGTGAAACACCCACCGTGTGTCCGGCCTCTGGGGAAGCTACGACGCACAGGGAGGCCCACTGGCTGCAAACCGCCAGGCCCTTAGCTGACAAGGCACCAGAGATGCAGGGCTCTACCGTTCCGGTGACAGCAGCAGAGCTCCGAGCAGCCCCGTTCGCCACGATGCACACCTAGACTCTCCTGCCTCGGGGTAGAAGTAGAGTGGCAAGTCACCCCTCACTCCCCTGCTAGAATTCCTTCCCACCCAGGGATCCGGCTTTCTAGAGGGCTGAGCCCCACGGCGTGATCGTCTGTGTCCCTAGCACCTAGTCGCAGCCTGACGGAAATGAAACAAACAGCACTGAACTGTGCCCAGCTCCTCCGGAGTTATTTTACACCCTCCTCTCACCTTCTAGAAAAGAACCATTGCTGTTTCTTTGCATTCACACAAATATTGGGAGGTGAGGATAAAATAAGACCGAAAGGAGAAAAGTGAAGTTACTCCCCAGCCTTCAGCAGCCCTACGAATACCAGGGACGGAGGAGGAGAGAGGCCTGAGTCGGGTAAATGGGATCAGCTGCTGTCTGAGGGACTGTTTAATTCGGAGGACACACTAGTTCCAAGCTCTTTAACAGCATTTATTTGACCAAAAAAAATTAGAGCATAGAATGCTTCTCAGTAAGAAACTTAAAGCAGAGTCCACAGGACCTCTGCTGGCCGGCACCTTCTTAGCTTCGTTTGTATTTGCTAGATCCACCCGCAAGGATTTCCTTTTTCAGGAGGCTTATTCCATTCTTCTGTCTTTCAGAGGCTCCTCACCCCCACCCCCCGTGCGGTGTCTGTACTGAGGAGACTGTACTTGGTGACTTCACCCTGTGCCCACTTCTGTCCCCTCAAGCCCCCCTGGAAGAATACCAGACTTGAGGCACTATGCATTTCCTCTGCTGTTAAGCCATGGTCTAATTCATATCTTGTGTGTAGTCCTTTTCACCTAAGAGATGAGATGAAGTTGTCAGAGTAACCGAGGCATGCTGAGAGTACGTAGAACACTCCCCACCTGCTCCATCTTCTGTGGATGGCACGCAAGAACACTGGTGGGTGTTGATGTGATTCTGGTATTGGATTCCTCTGTATCATTTCTTAAGCATCTTTATCTGGTCCTCTGTCCTCATTAGACTTCTTGCCAATTTGTTTTTCAGTTAGTCATCTTTGCTATTTCAATAGCCCTAATCAATAGTCCTAATCCATTCAAGAGTTTCATTAATGTTTTCAGTAAGTTCTTCCCAGAAAACAAATCTTTTTTAAATGTTTTAATCATAAAGGCAACTAAAGGCTATTATGATGTCACCTCTTCCATTTCCTGAGTTCATACGAAAGTTAGCACTCTATAAAGTGTTGCTTGTTTTGACTCAGTACTCGGGGAAAATGTGGCACAGTCAGCAACCATAACAGAGCAAAAGAGCAGCCAAGATACAAAAAAAAACTCAAGCGCTGGCCAGCATCCAGTTCCCATCCGTGAATAGCCAAGATCCAGCTTACAGACACGGGTATCACTTCAGTTAATGGGAAAACACGACATGGAGCGCTTTCAGGGGTGCACGCTCCCGTGACCCGGATTCATATCTGCGTGTGTGTCTGCTGCTTAAGTTGGCCCCATTCTGTTTGGAGCCTTTCCCACTGAGGAAGCAGCCTCAGTTCTCTACAGTTAGATTAAGGGTCCCCATTTTTGCTGGGCTTTCATTCTTAATCAGCTAGACGAGTCTTCCTAAGGGCCTGTCCCTGACGACATCCCTGAGCTGTTTCAGGGGGCTGCACACAGGTTCCCTGGGGACAGAGCTGGCCTCCGGGACCATCTCATCAGCCCGCTGATGGAGACAAGTTTTATCCCTTTCTCCGCAAACCCTTGAGCCATCCCATGCTCCTCAGAGCGCCCAGGAAATGGATTTAAGTGCACAGCTGTTAAAGCCCGTCACTCACGTTTTCTTACATGCTTCTGGGCTCTACGGAGGAAAAGGCTCTCATTTCAAAACGATACCAGTACTTGCCAGTAGCACCGTGCATGGAATTGCAACGTCCTGTCTCACTTCGTGCCTCCGTGAAGTCTGCTCACTGGCCTTAGGGAGTGACGGCATCATTGCTCAGCGGGTTTCGTGGGTTCTGTTGTGTGTTCCCCGTTGTGACAACGTGCTGCCTCATAGTTCTGTGTTCACTTCCATGTTGGGTTCATCGCTGTGCTAGCTGCATGCACTTGCTGTTACTTGTGTCAAATGATTCTCTAACTTCCTTTGGAAAGCACTAATGAAAAGTGCTATTTCTCTTCTCTATTGTTGGGTTTTTTGTAAAGTTGCTCAAATGCTCTCAGGTATGGCGGCTCTGAATGGAGGACTTGGCGCCACGGGCTTGACGAATGGCACGGCGGGCACCATGGACGCCCTCACGCAGGCCTACTCAGGGATTCAGCAGTACGCGGCCGCGGCACTGCCCACTCTGTACAGCCAGAGCTTGCTGCAACAGCAGAGCGCCGCGGGCAGCCAGAAGGAAGGTAGGTGCTCGCCCGGGCCCGGACGGCCGAGGCGCCCGTACGGCCGGCCTCCGAGAAACTCGACGGAGCCAGCGTCCTAGGAGAAAGCCGTTATTTACTTCTGCCCTTCATGGGGTGGGGTTCGTTTTTCTCCTTTAGAAAACCTAACACGACTAAGCCATTGGTTTGAGTCTTCTCTCCTGTCCTCCTCAGGCTCGTACTTCTTTTATGCTGTAATTTTTCATCAGTCTTTTAATTTCCCTCCTCAGACTTGTTTCTCACCCACTGCGTGCTTCTACGCAGTTACCTAGTAGTTGCTGCCCTCAGAAACCTGGCAGGAACCCGCTCTCCCAAGTCAGCAGGGGCCGTCCCCTACACATTAACTGCTCCCTAGCGGAAGGGGTCAGTCGATGGTCTTCCCAGGCATGTCCCAGGTATCTGGGCGTCCCCACGCCCTGTGGCTGGTTAGCTGGACTCTTCATAGGCGAAAGTTTCCAGGGTAAGGATGAAACGCACCATCAGGATCGGCTGGGTCTGTGTTGAATCGGGGGTCTTCTGAGGAAGTAAGTATGTGACTGATGGTCTTGCTTCTCTGCCAATGAGGCAAAGTGAGTCTCAGGAAATGAATGCTAAGAATAAATTCAAGCTAATTCTAGAACAGTTAATGAACCAGTCCAAAGAGGGAGAGCTTGTCTTTTCCTTTCTTCCTTTGGTCTCTTCTCCTTAGTAGAAATGGCTTTCAAGCAAACTCTGCACCATGATGATATTTATTCTCTTTCACACCTGTTGGGAGTATGGCATAAGAGGCTAGAATAGGGAAGTACTGCTGAGGAAGTCTGTACAAATTTCTTTCCCTTCTTTATCCTCACCCCACATTTCCAAACTGTTCTTGTCTGAGTATTTTAAATATGGTGTTCTATAAGAATAGAATGTTTTCACTTTGTAAAGTTGTGAACTTTAAAAGGGACACAGCTTTAAAGATACTCTTGTAGAACAAAGGTTTGTTTCCATTTATAAGTAAGAGATCGTTAAAAATGAGATATATGAAAATCTAAATTCTTCATTATTTCAACTTTCTCTTTATTCTTAGCTGTGACTGTTAGTGTAGATTTTTAAAAACCTGCACCACCGTTCAGGCAACTGTATTTCCTGAGGCATGTGGAGACCCTACGTCATAAATACCCTGCCTTCCCAAAGAAGGGCCTGCACTGAGGTCCCTTGTCTGGGGTCGGACTGCCATGATGACTGTGGTAGGAGGGGTCTGTGAGATAATGATGTTCTTAGGCGAAAACATAAAAGCCAGTTCCCGGCCGGATTCTTAAAGAATCCTGGCCACTGCTCCACTGCCCAGCAGAGCCTTAGAGCAAGCGACATGACGGATGTCACCGAGAAACACGTCACCAGTGGACTCGCCATGTACTGGTGCAAGGATAGAGTGTGGGCCCTGAGACAACTGTTCTCTGCTGCTTCACCGCAGCTCACTGCCCCACATCTCCATGCCTTGCCTTTTTGCGATTGCCTGTGCAGTAGCTAACCGTCCGGGATTAATGTGAATAATGGCTGCCAACCTGGGGTCATTGACATTTAGGTATTGGGGTACCAGTTGCATGGTTTAGTTTTGATTTTTTTGGTGGTGGTGGTGGTGTTTTTTGGTTTGTTTAGCGTTTTTAATCATCTCCCACCTTCTCATACCTCTCTTCTGATCACCTTCTTTTCACCCAGTTGATGTGTTCTCAAGAAATGTAAACCATCCTAATATTAGTTTAACCACAACATAATTTTCAAAGCAGGTTATACTTGGAAGGAAAAAAAAATGAATTCCACAACTAAACAGATTTTTAGATTTTCTGCTCTATGGTTTTGTCCTTTAGTTCAGAGAGTTGAAAGTCAAGTTGATGCATTTAGTCATGTACCCTAGTATATATTTTCCCATAGGAAAATGAGCCAGGCTGGCTTTGCTACTGTTGTTGTTTTAAAGTGGCTCTGATATATTCCCCAGCTAAATCGTCTGAAGGGTTATGGCATCCCTATCGACCTCAATCCAGGAAAGTTGACCACCTTTCCTGTCACTCCTGAATAATACCTTCCCGTGTTCCTTGATTTGCAGGAGGCGGTCACGCACACACAAGTAGGTAGAGCCTCGGGAAGGCCACGAAGCAGCTGGTGGGTGCTGGCCGTTGGCCACAGATACCCCAATGCTCTGTGCTAGACCAAGTGCCCTAGCTGAGAAATACAAAATGTGAGCACCCAGCCAGCTGGGACCAACACTCTAACAGAGAACTCCAGTAAGTTAAAATGACATGTACTGGGAGAGATCCGAGGAATGCGTGATTTGTCAGCAGGTTCTTACTAAAAGCAACAGTGAGGTGGATACATAGGTGGAACCCTCAAAAACGTGTTTTTGTGTTTCGGCCCTTGGTATCTATGGCAACAGCCGCCTTCGTTGCACGGAAGAGAGGTTTTCCACATCGAGTCACCTTTTTCTCATTTTAGTGTTCACAATTTTGGCAGTTTGCAAAATCAAACTATTTCTGGGTGATGAAAACTGTGGGGTCTACACTAGGAGATGCTGGTGGCACTTTACCTGAGAAAATGGTGAATAAAGAACAGAGCCTCCTTAGATTGACCTTTTTCATAGTTTCTTGGTCCCCCCATGTGGCACAGATACAGTCGGAATGTACAGTGTTCTAGAATGCCAGGACTGTCCAGGCGTAGCCAGTAATCTGACAGAGTACATTAAGTTGCAGTGGGTCCCATAAATCCTCATTTGTACATGTGGACCTTTTACTGAGAAGGCACATGAAATCTGGGTGGTGCCAGATTTGCCCAGCACACACTGCCGAAGCCGTGCCCGGCCTGGTGGCACTCCAAACACCCCTTTCCCATGTTTTGGTTTTTCACCTAGTCATACTAAGTAAACCAGGAAACATTTGGGGACCTAAGACCTACAACTGTGTCCCTTGAATTACAGACTGCCTCCTTGGCACTGGAATGTGGATATGTCCATGGGAATTGTGAGCGACACAGAAAGTTAAAGTGGTCATGTTGAACTGAAATGCTTCATCTCTGTGGCTTTAGAAACTTGCCTCCAGAAGACATCCTTGGGAAAAGTCCCACACGTTAGAACACTCTTTTTCTGTGGGGAGAAACTTGGTTTGACTCTTCTTTACAAAGATGTTTCTTCTCTTTTAGTTTTACAAAGTTATTCTTTCTCCAGTTTTACTTTTCTTAGACCCAAATACTAACCACCACCACACCCCCTGCGGCATCCCAGTGGGGCAGGCAGCTCTGGTTCCTCCCCTGGATGCCAGTGAAGGTTCCAGGAGTCAGCTGCCAAGGTTACTTCATCGGTTTTTGTGAGCACCCTTCCCTCCCAGACACCACGCCCCGAACTTAGAACATCTTAGAGACATCCAGCCCTTGGCGGGGGGGGGGGGGCCTCTCCAGACAAGTGGGGGGGGTGGTGGGATTGGTAACTACCCCAGGCGGCCTTGGACCTGGAAAGCCTCCTTGCCTGTTCTATGTTAGATGACTGCCTCCCATCAGGTCATTCAGATTCCCTCCTTTTCACCTTCGGATGGCTCTTGGGCAGGTGGCTAGAGAGATGGGGAAGACAAGGAGGAGAGCTTACCTCTCTAACCAGTGTAGCTGAGAGGACCTTCCGTACTCTGCCCTTGCTTCCTGTTTCTCTGGAAAGTGACATCTCTGAGCTTGGTCACTGCCTAGCTTCTGCACCTTGTGCGTTCATTTCCAAGGCTAATCCCCAGTGGTATAATTCCTATCACAGCTGTGAAACTCTAGCTACCTATTTTTCCCTGCCTTGACTCACTGCCAGTCATTTCTAATAAAAATGATTATTAGACTGTGTTAAGAGATTTGGCAAATCAAAACTGGATGGATAATTAGGTAAATGATTGAGAAATCCAAGCAACACTACTGCTATATCCATTATTCTAAATTGCTGCAATTTGCTTAGAACACACAGGATACTCTCAACTCCAAGAGATCGTCTATACATACAACAGAACACAGCCACCCAGGAAAAACCCACTCCTGCGTTCTCCTCCCCACCTCTACCCCATGGGGACCACCCTCACCCCCCAAGAAGAGGAGACTGAAAATATGTACACTAAGCAAATGCGAGCCACAGAAGATGATCAGTGAAAAGACAGCTATTGCTGACCAGTGTCTTTGGAAATCAGGAACATCTGAAGGATGATTCCCGTCCTGAAAGACATACCAGCACTTGACATTTATCCATCTATCTCATTCCCTTCTAGTATGAGAGAGAAAGGCAAATGCTTAGGCTATCTGTTGTTAAAAAGCAGTCCTAAGAAGAGGCCTTGGGAACTAAGAAGCGAAGAATACCTTACTCTGATTTTTTTTTCCTCTTTAGGTCCAGAGGGTGCAAACCTCTTTATTTACCACCTTCCACAGGAGTTTGGAGACCAGGACATTCTGCAGATGTTCATGCCTTTTGGAAATGTTATCTCTGCTAAAGTCTTCATTGACAAACAGACCAATCTGAGCAAGTGCTTTGGTATGCAAAAGAAACCAAGCCAGAATATTACAGTACATTCCCAAGTGTGAGGAGTCATGGGAAGGAAAATGTAAATGGCAAATATTTGAGAAGTCCAGATAGGGCCTTCCCTGGGTGGTGCTGTTTCCTGGTGTTCTGGATCCATGTAAGCAGATCGGGCAAAGTCATTTAGTCAAAAGCAGAGGAAGGGGCTACATAAAAAGGAAGGATCTGGGAAATGAAACTAAATGCCCATGCCTTAGATGATGTTGTGTACTGTGCTACTCAGGGTCTTACTGCACGCGGCTAGTCATCTTTCACTAGTTTCCTCAAGCCCCACCGATGGAACCACGAACTTGAGCAGAGGGAGATAGTTAATGGACCATAGCGTAGTTTAGGCGATCCTGATACAGAGTAGTATTGCAGACACTCTGCCACGAATTCCGTAGCCTTCTAGGTGCGGGAGGCTTCTGGCACTTGTGGATCCGGGTAGCATGTGGTATGGGAAGGCTTCCTACATTCTCACATACCTTCACAGTAGGGGTGTGGCCAGGCTGCCCACCACCCTGCAGGCCCCCAAGCTTGGGACGGGGAGTTGATGCCTGTCCGGTCCCGGGAAGTGCTGCATTATGCTGATTCGGGAGCCAGAATTTGGGATGATGGGCTCTGCAGGGCCTGCCCGAGTGGATGCAGAGCCCGGAGATGCAAGCATTCAGAGAACGCTGGAAAACCCAGGTCCTCAGTGGCCTGGGCCGTCGTGCCCTCCTTCCTCACGCAGCCCAGACTCTGCCTCCTAGGGCAGTCTGTGCTCCCTGAGAGGCACACTCTCCACTGGCCCTAATGTTTTAGAAGCAGGAGCATAGCGTTCATTAAATCTATTTCTTGTTTTGCTTTTTGAACCCCTTTGGTCTCCAAAGTGGCTGAGAGTCTAGAATGTTCAGAGTATAGATTACTTGCTTGGCAAGTTCTGGCCCAGTCTGAGATTGAACATTTGCCCTCATCATTCCTCCAGTCTAGTAATTCAGGGAGGGAGTAGGCAGTAACAGCACAAAACAAAGTGGAGTAGATCCAGACCAGAGGAAATACAAAGAGAACTATATGGTATGAAGAAAAGCATCAAAGGTGGTAGGAGTGGTATTCAGACTTAGTACCGGCTAACTGGTAATGGGCAACGGGTGTAGAGAGAATGTTTTGGCTTCTAAAACCCCATTATCGTAACGTCTTTCTGATCTCTGTGCCATCATCCAGGAAGGTCTGAAGCCTCTGTTGTTAGGGGAATTAGTATGTCAACCATTGAAAGTCACTGTTTTTACCCAAGTGGCCAGGGTGTCAGCCTGAACCCACCCCACTATCGCTGCTACTATGACAAGTACATAAACCCCCTTGTGATGGCGCACCAACAAGTGAAATGGAAAGGGAGTGGTTACATAGGGGGCGTGTGTGTTTCGGTGGGAGCTTACCACTCGGAGCTTCCCTGCGCGAGGTTATGAGACAGACTTTTATACTCATCACTAAGCAATGTCCTGGGCTTATTTGCAGATCAGAAAGGGATTGTGCTTCAGGGTCTGATTTTGAGAAAAACAGTTAGTGCCTTGAAAAGAGATTGTATCAACCAAGGTGTAATAATGCAGGCTATACCGATGAATGTCAGCAGACAAGTGTATTTAGCACTATGCACTGTTTTCAATTTTTATCAAAAGCTGCAGCATCCCAAACCTACATTTCTCAGTTAGCCGGCCTAATTTGCGGGGGGGGGGTGGGGGGGGGCGGTCCCAGATTTGCTAGCCTTAGGTAGCCCATTCTTTCATGCTAACCTCTTGGCCGGGTTTCATTATCCATTTCACCCTTGACCCATTTCCATTCTTTAATCATCTTGCTGCTTCTGGGTAACGACCTAGAAGGAAAGGAGAAAATCAGAGCCAAACTCTTGGATTCGAGAGCACTTATACTGGGAATTAGATTTAGTAAAAATCTGTACCACCATTTTGCAGTACAGCCTGCCAATGAAAAGCTTTTCTGCATTATACCATATGCTCATTTTTATCGGCTGAGAACTCTGCTGAAGGTATATTTATGTCCTTTTCTTCCTCCTCCAGTTTGTAAAGGAATTTTCTCTTTAGCTTTAGACTTTAATAGCAGATAGTTGAAGCTTAGTATAGAACCTTCTGAACAGCTGATGTTGAGAACTGAAATTCACCCAGTATAATAGCTTCCTTTCAACACGAGAAGTAGGCACAGTACAAACTCAACACCTTTACATCAGCATTACCTAAAGAAAGTTTTGCATGTACCCTCCTACCCCCACCGCCAGTGTTAGAGCAAACTATGTGATCAGAAGTCTGTTTCTGGGTCTTTGCAGAGCATCACTGGCCCTTTCTCAAAAGCACGCCCTCCCTGCCATTTTGTACAGACAAAGACACTGGGAAGTCTGTGAGGATGGCTCTTAAGCCCTAAGCTGTTCAGACTCTTTATTCTTAGGGGGTATAAGGTAGCAATTTCCAGTCTGTTGAATGCAGTGGAGCTTTGAAAATGGAAGTTGAGATGATAAGAAAGGGCCGGCATTTCCCTTGGGTCCATAGGTCCCTCTCAGAAATAACTCCAAAATGTTAAAAATCAAGTACAAATTATCTTAGAGTTAATTCACTGACCCCATCCGACAGTCGAACAGGTGTGGGCTGTGTGGACACAGACGGGGAACTGGAATGAGAGTCGGGGTGTTTGCAGTGTACCGTTACCAGCCCTTCATTTAAACCACACCTGCTTGGGACACGTGAGCCTCTGGGGACCCTGCGAGCCCCGGAGTATCTATGCCTCTGCCTCTGTGAGCACCCCCAGGGGTTCTGTCCGAAGGATTTCAAGGGGCTTGAAACACAGACTTGACCGAAATCAGTAAACAGACCAGGAGTCTGAGAGTCTGAGATTTCGCTTTTCACAGAGGAGGGCGTTGTTGTCATGATACCCAATTCCCAGTCCGACCAGCTTTTTTCACTGTTTCTCAGTGGATGTTCCCAGGGGTGGCCGTAAAACACACCCCGTCCGTCCACAGCCGGCACACACTGAACTGAGCAGAGCTGCTCCCAGCCGAGCCCACAGGATGTGCCCACGCTGCCCACCACGTACAGTGACACTCTCCAGCCCCCGCCCCCACGACGTCCTGCTCCCTGCTGTCTACTCCGCTGCCTCTCCGTGTTGATTGCCACCGTCCTTCCCCTTGTGTCTTCCAGGCTTTGTTAGCTACGACAATCCTGTGTCCGCGCAAGCTGCTATCCAGGCTATGAATGGCTTTCAGATTGGCATGAAACGCTTGAAGGTCCAGCTGAAGCGCTCCAAAAACGACAGCAAACCTTACTGAGCCTAACCCCAGAGGCTCCCTGCTCTTATTTTAGCTTTCTTAGGGTAAGTCCCACAAGCCAGCCTGTTCTCAACAGGAAAGGCAGAGGAGGACCACATTGCCAACTTTTACCAAGAGAGACGGTTATTTTTACAATAAGGCCTCCATGTCCCCTCCCCCGCCCCCCACCCAGTTCGCCATAATTAAAAACTTGGGCTACCTTGTTTCTATCAAGTAAAACTCCTCTTCCAGTTGTGCCACTGTATTCTCCTTTGTTTTGCAATTTGAATCTCCTTTTACCTTTTTCGTTTTGTTCTCGTTTTTTGCTTTTTTTTTTTAAAGAAAAATACACATAAATAAATGACATCTTGAGAATTTAAAAGGCAAACAAAGGCTAACGTGCAATTCTAACTCTGAGACCCCTGGTGCCCCAGAGCACTGCCTGGTGAATTCACCCCTCCTGTCCGCGCCCATCCCTAGGAGGGCGCCAACCGTTTAGAGGTTAAGGTGGTGGCCTAGCTCGAGAGAGAAGCCAGGAGAAGCACTTAAAACAATACAAACGTCTTTCCACTACATTTGGTTTGTTTTAACAAGTAGGATTTTATTTTAGGGTTCAAAGAAACATGACATTTATTGGTCAGATTATTACACTGGTTGTCTATTTTGTTGTTTTATTTTAGTTTTTAGAAAGGATTAATGTAAAAAAAGATTTAGAGATCTGTTTCTTAAAGCTACAGGGTTTAAAAATAAAATAAAAATGAGTGAAAATACTTGATGTTTCTTGAAAGATAAATTTAATAATAAATAAATAATACATAAATACATAAATAAAAAAGAAAGCCACAGGCCTGTAAATTTTATTTGTAAAAAAAGCATTTCTATTTTTGTACAAAATTTTTACTGCCTCAGAAATAATGGAAGTTATTTATTGCCTATTGTTAACTTATTGGGTACCTAAAGAGCAGTTCTCTGTGCTAGCTAGATCCTTTTGAAGTAGTCTCTAGAGGAATCGTTCTAGGAATGGGCTTTTTTTCACCGTTGAACCCTAGGCCTACAGTTCATGCTTTTCCCTCTTGTTGTTCGTATCTGTCTGACGATTTTGTTTGTAGCTTCCATGATCTATCTAGTTTATAGTTCGGTCGTCTGACTCTCCCCCATATGTTACATCCGTTGAAACTGGATCCTCCCCTCCTGTCCCTCGCCAGCCCCCACCCCAAAACTCCTGGAATCCATCCCCTCTCCTCCTCCGGATGGATTCTCTTGGGGTTCCATTGTGCTGTGGATAAAGATTGTAAGAAATGCAAATTACGGGAATGGCTCGTAGACTCCCGGGATGACCTAAGATTTGCATTAGTTTTTCTCCTGCACCCTTAAGAGTGATTTTGTTGCTGCTGCGTAGATTCTGTGTAACTTTTTACTCTCCCTTGTTTTCTCCCTAGACATCTTCATGCCCGTTAGTTCACCGTTTGCCTAGCATGTCCCTGTGGCGTCTCAAAAAAAAAAAGTTTCATCGTCCCGTCATTGTTTCTGATGTCTTTCTGACCTCACATCACATTTGGTTCTCCTACTGACCTTTGATCTAGTTTGACCTTTGAAATTTGCATGTGACCTCATCTAGCTATGAATTCTGGGAAGTCAATGTGAAAAACATTGCTGCATTCATGCAAGACTGAAATTTATTATTAGACAAATTATAGAAAAAAACCTGTGGCAAAAACGTTTCTTTCTTATTTTTTTTTTCTTTTCATAAAACAGACTTGAAAGTATTATACAGGGATTGGCATTCTTCCCGGTCACTGGTAACAATAGCAATATGTGTCCAGGGACACAGAATGTTGGTTTCTAACAGACTACTTCCAAAAACAGTTTGAGAAAAAAAACTGTCTGATTTTAAGTCTCTAGAGGTCTGTAATAGTTTTTACATTTTTCAGGCAGTGTAAAGTTTTTTGATAAGGCCATTTTAGGTGGCTCACTTTCTCATTAAGATATATATATAGAACCACTTTTTGTAGATTAGTATAAGAAAAATATTTACCCTGTTTTGGGGCAAATGCTACCTATTTGTGTCACCTTTTGCTGAACTGACTCACAGTTAGACAATCCATGGTTTAATGCACATGAAATTACCTATATTTTATACTGTTTCAATGTACAGGAGAAAGGTTACTGTAAACTGTGTTATGTTGGTGCTTCTGTGAATTAAGTTGTGGTTTCAATCATGAGTCTTACGGTCTTAATGTTCTCTGTTGATAAGACAAGGTTAGAATTGGTTTACTTAAAGAATTTCAAAAAAAAAAAGTTTGCTTAAAAAAAAATTTCATGTGAGGGGAAAAAAAAAAAAAAAACCTATTCCAGAATAAGTTTTGTGTTGGCTTGTAAAGCATTGATGTCATTTTTTTTTATTGTGGACTATTTAGATGTGTTTGTGTTCAGCAAAATGTGATTTTTTTTTTCTTTTAAAGAAAAAAAGTGAAAATATATAGTGCCAAATTCCAAAGGTACTTCCTTCCTAGAGCTTCAGTGTGTTTCTTGTGAGAAGTAATTTGATAACATGGGTATTTTATTATGTGTTTTGTATAAATCCCTAATATTTAAAAAACAAAAAACAAAAAAAAAAGAGGTTAAAAAGTTTGTTAACTTGCTATCCTGTGGTCTTGTTGCCTGAAATTGTTATTGTTTGTTATTTCTCTATGATGTTTTTTGTAAGACATTGTATAAGTGCCCATGTCTCACTTTTTTAACCGCTCTGCACATCAATGCTGTGATGGCAACCTCACGATGTATTTCCTTCATAATATATGGAAACCTCTAAGGTGAGAAAGTTTTGAACTTCTAACCCTTTCTACCCAGAGCTGTCTGGAGCGTTGGTAACTTTTTATACCCTTGTCATTTCTGTTTGTTCCAGGGTGTTTATAATTTGGATTCCCCTCCCCTCCCCCCCATACATCTTTGAGTTTTGTCTTTCCTACTTTTTTTTACCCACTGGTTGAGATCCAAAAGAAAAAAAAAAAAACACAAGGCAAATCTGAAGGGAAAAAATATATTTTCACCCTCTCCATTTTTTTTTCCTCCCTACACCTTTTTTTTTTTTTTTTTTTTTAGTTTTGATTATTTCTGGTCATTTTAAAAAAACTAATGTGCTGCTGAAATTCCTTCTCTGGTTTTAATTAGAAACAGTTGACTGGATAAACCTTCTAAGGGAGATGGTAGGTAGATTCAGCACCTACATTATTAACCTTAAATTCTATATGCTTTTGAGATCAGGTGTAGGGGTATGTTCTAGTTCAGAATATTTTCATATGCCTTCCAGTTAAACGACTTTGTGATGGGGTAGTATTTTAAAGGATTTTGTTTCTTAAATACTCCCAATTAATGATGTTTCTAATCAGCCACTGTGCTGGGCATTCTCTGATCCCAGGAGATACCTCTGATTAAGCAAGGTGCCTGGGGTTAGAAGCTGATAGTCCTTTCTTTCCCTGCCTTTTTGTTGATTTTATTAATTGAAATCATTGAAAGGGGACTGACCATCTAAGTCCAATTCTGTTCTTTATCACAGTTACTGACCAAATACCTAGCACCAGATCCTGCTGCCACTCTATAAAGTGCCATTTACTTTGACTTCGACTTCGCGTTGAACAGAACTCTCACTGTCTTGACAAATCCCAGTGTCATCCCTGAGGCCCCAACACAAACTCTTGCCTTCTTGAAAGCAGGCCCTGGAAGCGTCTTTGTCTTTAAAGGAGTTCAGAAACTGCTGGCTCCCTTTCCTTCCTCCTTTTCCCACTCACCACTCTGTTCAGTTTAATGTGGACGTGATAGCCCTGGGATGGAAAGGACTAGCCTCTAACGATGCAAAAAAAAAAAAAAAAAACCACAAAAACTAAACATAAAACAAGTTTCCTTCTTATAGCACATGCACTTACAATGAAATGATCTGTATTATCCTCACACGTGTTTACTACTGCTGGGGCCTTCCTTCATCCTTTGAGGGCTATTTTGTACTTCCTGCAGCCATCAGCTTAATACCAGGAGTCCGCACACATCTCTCTCTCGCATACAGCATAGGGTGGTTTGTGGACGCACAGCACACAAGAGAACACCACCATCTGAATTTCAGACTGTCCTCCTTTCACCCACCTGCATCTCCCCCAGAGGAGCTTGAATGCCGGTGACAAGAGGCTCAGGATGGGCACTTCACATTGGGTGTTTCTTATTTTGCAGGCGACCAAAACAGTACATTTCAGGGGAAAGTCTTTTTTTTCCTGCATGTTTGCATTGTTTAAAAGCTGACCCTCCTCAGAGACAAATTGTCCTTTTACTCACTTTATCTTTTACTATCAAAGGAAAAAAAAGCTGCAAGGGTGCAAAGGGCCTGTGCCAGAAGGAAAAACACACAGGGAAACTGCTTTTTTTAAAATCAAGTGTAGAGAATAGTCATTTTTACACTAAATTAGAGAATTGTGATAAAATGGCAGTCCTCAAAGGTGTAACAAGTTCATCTTTCTTTCACCATAGGGGTTATAGTTCTTTGGCTTGTGCTACTCTGGACTCATTTTACTGTTTGTTTTTATTATCTTAAGTGCTAATTAACAAGAAGAAATAAAATTTTAAAAAAACCTGTAGTTTCATTACCTTTTTGAATAATGTCATACAAAAAAATGTATTTGTGTTTTTTTGTGCTGTGAGAATTGTTGTTTGTAGATTAATAATATCATTTTGTTTAGAATTACAAAATAGTTTTTAAATATTGTCTGAGAAAAGCCAAAGTTAATGCAACCTAGTGGAAACTGTAAGACCATTTACGAGTATTGTTTGTTTTATTGATGCATTTGGATTTTGTTGTTTGATGGAATTTGAGCCAAAAAAAAAAAATACGCAGGCTTTCCTATTTCTACAACTGATTGTACTTACGCATTTTGTACCAGTGGAACTTTTTATACTGGAGATTAAAAAAAAATGGAAATTTTTGTGGCTTACTCTAGTGGCCCCTGACTGATTCCAGGTCTGATTTCTGGTTGATAGAAAGAAAGTTGCTTTTCTTTTGAGAATTAAAAACTTTGGCTTGATTTCTTTTTTCCCTTTGCTTATATCTAGCATTAGAATTTTGTCTTAAAATACAGCGGTAAGTTTCACTTTTTATTCTGTATTGTGCAGTTACACAATAAGGTAATTAGATTTAGAAGTACTCAGTCACTTTAAGTGGATAAATGTATTAGTTACAACTTTAGGGGTTTGCTTTTTTGCTGTTTAGATCAAAGTTTTTTCTGATTCTTCTGTCCTCATTGTGAACATAACCGTGTAGTTGAAACAGTCAAACTTATTTTTGTAACGTACGTTATTGTGTGATGCAGTTTTTTGCTTCTGTCTCCAATATTAAACCATTTTCCTAATACTTGTTTCTCTCTCTGCGTGTTGTATTGTTGGTAGTCATTATATGTTGGTGATACATCTACACACCTCACTGTTTCACGTATCTGTTTTTTTTCTATATGTTGTGTAAAAAGATACAGTCGATTCCACCTAAGTGAATATCTGATTTGGGGAAAAGGGGAAAATGCACACCAGCCACCTCTGATTTCTGTACAACAGCCCATTCTAACCACCGCTTCCAAGACTGATACTTATTTCTGTGGTTCACCTAAATAACTGCCTGCAGAGTTGGATTTGCCCAGACCTCTTCCGGTCTTCTGACCCCACTGGTACCTGTCCCCGCCTCCGCCCCCCCCCCCCCCCCCCGCAGATGCAGTTCCTAGGGCTCGCTGCTGCGTCACTTTAAGAAATATTAAGAGGAGCAGAAGCAGAGCTAGGGTTCCTTCCACCTCCCCACAAGTCTAAAGGCGTATCATTACCAACTCTTCCTAGGGACTAACCGCGTTTTTCAAAGAGCTGAGCTCTAAGGGAAGAAACGACACACTGACCTGGTGAATAGAGATGGGAAAGGGTTAAACTTAAGTTTACGCGTTCCTATCAGTCACACCTATGTATAGAAAAGTAATTTAAATTATTTCTTTTTAAGAGCTGATTGAATCCAGGAGCAGCTTTAATTATTGAAAATAACAGAAAATAAAGGGACTACTTCCAAGTGCTCAAAAGGAAGCTCTTACTTGGTGAGGTGGGAGGGGAAGGAGGTAAAGGTTCTCATGCTCACGTCTTCATGATACATCATCCATTTCCAAACGAAAGCCAAGGATGCCATATGCATCCACACAACTCCCTCCTGAATGAACACCTTGTCCCCCATTATCACCCCAACCCCAGTTACCAAAAGAGAACTAAAGGAACAACTATTCCTTGTATGCCCTCTGAAACCGAAGCTTCCAGCCACCCTCCCATCTCTGCCCATCTCTTATGCTCAGGAATCGGACTGCTCTCCAAGTGCTCTTAAAAGATCCCATTGATGTTTGCTCCCTCTGTCTTCTCTCTCCTTCCAGCTTTTCAGACGCACAAACTCTGTCTGACTCAGGCCACCCTGCACCGGGCAGCCTTCCTCCCGCTGCCAATGAGATTTTCCCCGCAGGTGCTCAAGCCCTTCACCCTCTGGTTTCGGCGGCCCCTCTGGCCCCAAATGGTCTTTTCTAGTCGGCTCAACAACAGAGGGACCTGGTGAGGTGGAGGAAAGGAGGCTCTTTTCCCCCATAGGCCGAACACCTCAGTGAAGTGACTTCCACCAGCTCCAAACCTGCACAGATGGGAGCTGACTTCCTGCCAATAGTTCTGCTTTAAATCTCATAGCCTTCATCAGATTGCCTCTGAAAACCACTGCTTACCTTAGTGGGGAGAGGGCGAAGGGTGTGATTTCCTTTTTTTTTTTTTTTTCTTGATGGAGGGTGTGAGGGAGGGAGAAGGGGGTAAAGAGGGTGATCAATTCTTTCCAAGATGCAAGTGTTTATTTTTAAAATCTATAATACAAGAATGAATATATATATCCATCCACCATTTGGTATAAGGCAAAATACTCATGCTAAGTAAAAGAAGGGAAAGACAAAGCCAGTTTTTTTGTTGCTGTTTTTTAGAAAAACAACAAAAATCGTAATTCTCCAAAGAAGGGGACAAAAATGCTAGTTTCCTTAAGCACTCATGACTGTAAAGTTGGTCCCTGCTTAAATTCATTCTTATCATTTTGATTCTGTAAAACATCGCTGCAGTGTTAGTTAGCAAGGTGTATCTGTTTGCCACCCACGGACCACCTTGGGAGATTACAGGACTGTCACCATTTACCGTGCTGACGGCAGCCCATGACACTTCCCAACAACCCACGGGCTGGGCCTCTCAGCTGCAGGCTAGGAAACACAGTGAACATCGATGTACTGTGCAACATTCCTGATAAGTGAATAAAACATTGTGACCAAGCAATCAGCTTATTCACTTATCAGGAATCGACTGTTCTGCTAATTCGCTGTTTTTGTTTCTCATCTCTGTTGTAGCTCACTACTTTTGCTGTGTTCTATTTTCTCCTCTCATGCTTGGGCAAAATCACTGGGAATATTATCTTCATGTGACCATAAAACGTTTATATCGAGTGAAATGATATCTTAACAAAATCTATGCACTTGCTATCAGGAACACAATACTGGATGTGTCTTATATATATTGAACTATATAGTACTCGATTTCTTAAATAAAGCTTAAGAAAGGACTCTGTTGTGTGTAAAGTTAATGTGATTATTTTTCAAGGCAGTGTTTCTAAGGGGTTTTTTTGTTCTTTTAAGTCTTGAGTGATACAGGATATTTTTCATTAAAATTATATCACTGGCTTTATGACTTAATATTCAATAAATTTTCTTTGGAAACAAAATGGAGTGGGGGGAAGTTCTTCCGAGCACATTTTAGCAAGAGACATCTGGAAAACCATCCCCTTCCTGGTGACCATGGCAAACCTCTACCCAGGGCACGATGGGTGGCAGGAGAGAGCAATCCCTTCACGGCCCAAGGCCCTTGGAAAGCGTCTAGAATCTGCCCTAAACTAGAAAACCCAACTGCCTTTCTGAGTGTGATCTCTTCAGGCTCAGAAGAAAGGAGACAAAGAAAGGCAGCTCCAGGAATAATGCTGGTTTGCGTCAGTGCTTTTCCAAAGTGATGTGACACTGGAAACTCTCTCTACGCTGCTGGAGCGCCATGGCGCCTCTATTCAGGACTGCAAAAGGAGAGAAAGCAAGAGAGGGTGTTTGATCATTCCGGAGAAGAAGGGTAAAATTTCAAAGCCATATGTGAGGGAGACATCCTACAACAGCTGCAAAGCTTAAATGGGAGTCCTGCTGCTTGGCCCCTTGAAGAAATACTTTTGAAAATTTTCCTACAGGCCATAAGTCTGAACAGAATGGAGCTTTCTCTTGGATTTTTTTGCTTTGGGGTTTTATGTTAGATTTGTTTTTCTTGATTAATGTTTGATTCTAAGAAAAACTCCTCAACTTCTACTTGCAAAATGGCACAGACATCCTAATCCTTTATAAAACAAATCTTAGTAATCCCTGATAATGAGGGACAGAGAGAGCATGGCTAATGAAAATCCACAGACAATCCGAAATTCTTCTTCCAGTCTCTGCCTCCTCCCACCCCAAACCTCCTACTCATCAATTTGGCACAAAAACAAAACAACTTCTAGTGAAAGTGAAGGATCAGAGAAATAGTCAAGGGTAGTTATATCAAAAGGTCTTGACAGACTATGCTTCCTGGAGCCACGTAGTTTGGGGTTAGAGGAAAGAGGTTCTGTTTAAAAGAAGAAGAAGAAGAAAAAATTAACATTTTGAGAACCACTGCTCTAAATGACCTGGGCTCAAGTGTTGAAAAGCTGGCTACACATGGAGGTGCCCTAGGAAGTACTTTTTTCATAGTCTTGCCTTAAGCACCTGTCACATAGCTAGAAGGCATCTTCTTCTTTTAAGAGAAGACATCCAAGGTAATAATGGGGAGAAGAGCTCTGAGGTTCGGTCAGGGAAGAAGGGACACCAACAGATGCCCTCTCCATCTTAGCCCCAATTCAGTGGTTCCCCCCGCTGTGGACTAGCCACCCAGGGGCTGTACGCTGGGAGACCTGGCTCAGAGTGAGGCCTGAGGGTCTGCAGGTGGGACTTTAGGGAAAGGCTACATTTCTTTTCATCTTTTTCTGTGGGGCAGCAAAGTAGCCTGGTACCAACTCATACCTAAGGATGTTTTTAAAAATAAAAAATACACAAATATATAGATATTAGATCTATAAATCTAAAAGACTGGTCAATTATAGTTAAAGCCCCAAATAAAAATGCCCTATTCTGAGACTGCATGAACTTTCTAACATGAAGCTGGTGTTAAAGGAGCATTCTCCAGTGAGCCATTCTGCCTCAGTTTGAATACCAGCTCTACCACTAATTATCCACGTAACCTCTCTGTGCCTTAATGTCATTAGCAAAACGGGTTAAAAAAATACTTTCCACATGGGGTGATTATGAAGATTAATTAAGCCAATACACAGAAAACACTCAGAGCAGGATCTATCACATTGCCAGTACTCAGGAAGTAACAGTGGTCGTATCTACCAACTGAGTCAGCTCCTCTCTGCTGGCCTGGTCTATTACTCTCTCCTACCATGCGTCCTCTCCGCCAACCCCAGAGAGACCCACAGCTCTCCCTGGGTTCTTGGGACAAACACGGACAAGGCGCAACCAGATCCCACAGCTCCTCGCAGAGAGCTCTCTACACTAATAGGCCCTGGAAGAGGCTTTTCTCCTCATGAGAAACGATACACTAGAAGCTTGCCCACCCTACCTTATAGGCTAGCACACCCACACAGTCCTGCTCTAAGCCGTGAGGACCAAGAACTAACTCCATTCTCAAAAGGGACAACTGATTCCTCACTCTAATCCACCCCTTCCTACCTCTAAGTATTATAATTAGGTCTCTCTTCCCCAAAAGAAAAGTCCAGCTATCCAGTCTGGGTCCTAAGTGGGTGTCAAAATCATCTAGGGATTTGCCTGCAACAACCTATAGGTTCTATGCCCTTCCAAGACAAAGCTGTGTCCTCAGCAACAACCAGAATCAAACAACTTTGACCACCTTGAGAAGAGCAGAGGGCAGGGCTTTCAGAAGCCTGGATGCAGCCAGGCAGAGGTCTTTCTAGACCACCACCCCCATCTTCACCCCACCCCCAATTTAACCAAAGGCACTCTGCTTTTGCTTGGTTTATTTATTGGTTGTTTCATGTAAATTTTATTTAAGAAAAAGACATTTTTCTACTAAAAGCACAAAAGATTTTTAAAACACTGCTTTAGAAGAAGGTAACTCTGAAAGAGGCTTATCAGTACTTAAGCCTTGTGACAAATATTCACTGCCTTTGAAGTCATTCTCTCCTTTCTTCTTTCCTCGTCTCTCTACCCCTTCTATTTTCTCATAGTTCTTTGTCCACAATGCATCGTAACA